GGGTCTATAGCACACTGGTTGAGGGGCTTTTCCAGTCCTGCTTGAAGGAGGCAGTACTTGGTAGACTGTTTTTTGTTTAATTTTATTATTATTTTTTCCATATGTGCCTTTTCTTTTTTCTTTTTGTTTTCAATTTTTTTGTGTGTGTTTTTTTTCTGAGACAGAGTCTCACTCCAATGCCCAGGCTGAAGTGCAGTGGTACAGTCTCAGCTCACTGCAACTTCTCTGCCTCCTAGGCTCAAACAATTCTCCTGCCTCAGCCTCCTGAGTAGCTGGGATTACAGGCATCCACCACCACACCTGGCTAATTTTTTGTATTTTTTAGTAGAGACAGGGTTTCACCATGTTTGGCCAGTCTGGTCTTGAACTCCTGACCTCAGGTGATACACCCATATTAGCCTCCTGAAGTGCTGGGATTACAGGTGTGACCCACTGTGCCTGGCCTATATGTGCCTTTTCTAAGACGTCCAACTTAAAAGAGAGTGACTGCTCGGAATCACCAAGAATCAAAGCTGGATGTACTTTTAAAAGGTGCCCTTCACTCTGCAGATGGTGATTTTGAGACTCAGACTGGGGAAGAGCCAGCCTTGCTCAAGGTCACCAGCTAGGGAAGGAACAAGCTGGCATAAGGACCTACGTTGTATCCAGCATTCCAGGTAGCTCCACAGAAGTGAAATTGATTTGATACCAGCAATTACTTTACTGAGGGATACTTTTGCAATAGACAGGAACCATTTTTTGTCTTAGTTCCAAATTCTAATGTCCTTGGTTATGCGTATTAATACTTTGTTAATTTCACGTGGCATTTGATACTCCTCCTTATGTGGACCTTAGCACCATTTGTGAGGTGAGTATTATCCCCTTTGTCTTGTGATGATAATGAGTTCAATATTACCATGGCTTTCCTCCAACAACACAAAAGCAGTAACTGGCAGGATGGGGTTTACAATGTGAGCCTAATGGATGTTTTTCCTGCCCTACCCAGTGCCTGCTTCCTTTTTTTATATGAATTTTTAATAAGATGAGTAATACAGAGACACTCCTGGTGAAAATATTAAAATGTTATAAAGCCAAATGCCCTTTGGACTACTATCCCCAATTCCAGTCCCTTTCCTCTGATCCTGGGGGTAACTGACACAATGAGTTTGGTGTCTATTGCACCAGTTTTCTGTGTATTTAATTTCAAATGTCTGAGCCCACAAAAACAAAGACAATTGTTTTATTTATTTGTTTTACAAGAAGGGTTTTATATTTTATGTCTTGTTTTGAAATTTGCCCTCTTCATCATTAAATGGCTTGGAGTCTTCATGTCAATTCACGTAGGTCTATGTCTAATGCTATTAATCTACATAGAATTCCGTGGAATAAATATACCCCAGTTTAGCCATTCCTCATATGTACATTCATTGTCCATTTCATTCACATATACATGGAGGCTGCAGTCAACATTTGCAAATAGGCATCTTTGTAAACATGTGTTTTTCTAGGGTAGATAACAAACATGAAATTGCTAAGGCATATCTAGGACTCATGTATAGTGAATATTTAATAGAAACTGCCAAATTTCCTCGCAGTGTGGCTGTACCAATTCATGCCCCCATTTCACTCTGATTTGTCTCAGGAGGCTGAGTCCTTTCCTAAGTCCCTTCCCACAAGTATCTTGGAGCCCTGTTTACTCACGCCTTGGTCAATATTCAATATGTTCAGTGTTCTAAGTTTTTGCCAGTCTAATGGGTGAAATTAATTGGCTGCTCCTATTTTCTTATCTATAAATTGCCCATTATGTCTCCTGCTAGTTTCTCTATTGGATTTTTCTTATTGAGCAATTAGGATGCCTCCTTTCATACTATGGTACTTGGGAAAATAAAATGTTGACTCTCCAGTGGAATACTTCTTGTACATGTTTTATTAATTTATCAAATATTCATAGGAAAAAGATCATATGTTTTTTCTTTTTTCTTTCTTAAATTTGAGGCAGTCTTGCTTTGTTGCCCAGGCTGGAGTCCAGTGGTACAATCATATCTGACTGCAACCTCAAACTCCTGGGTTCCAATCATCCTCCTGCCTCAGCCTCCTGAGTAGCTGGGACTATAGGCCTATGCCACCACATGTGGCTAAGTTCATATTTTAGTAGTTATTAATTCTAGGTGAATATGTTCTATGTTGTTAACACAGCTGAGGGTGATGACATTGAACTTCTTATTTTTCTCCTGGATTCATGGGAGGCAAAATGGACTTCCCACTGCATTTATTTTTTATTTGTTTATTTTTTTTTGAGACAGAGTCTTGCTCTGTCACCCAGGCTGGAGTGCAATGATGCGATCTTGGCTCACTCTAACCTCTGCCTCTCAGATTCCAGAGATTCTCTTGCCTCAGCCTCCTAAGTAGCTGGGATTACAGGCACCTGCCATCATGCCTGGCTAATTTTTGTTTTTGTAGATGCAGGGTTTTACCATAATGGCCAGGCTGGTTTTGAACTCCTGACCTCAAGTGATTCACCCGCCTCGGCCTCCCAAAATGCTGGGATTACAGGCATGAGCCACTGCGCGTAGTGTCCCACTGCATTTATAATCTGTGAAACATTTCCATGTGGCAAAGTGAAGAGAACAAATTCAGGGAAGGCTGCAGTCTGGTCCGAACTGGGAATGGCCTTTTATCATAAGAACACCCAGAGGTTGAAGTGAGCTGAGATTGTACCAGTGCGCTTCAGCTTCGGCGACAAAATGAAACTGTTTTTGTTTTTGTTTTTTTTTTAAATGAGTTTCACTCTTGTTGCCTAAGCTGGAGTGCAATGGCGAAGTCTCGGCTCAATGCAACCTCTGACTCTCAGGTTCAAATGATTTTCCTGCATCAGCCTCTGGAGTAGCTGGGATTATAGACATGCACCTCCAGGCCCAGCTAATTTTTGTGTCTTTAGTAGCAACAGGGTTTCATCATGTTAGTCAGGCTGGTCTTGAACTCCTGACCTCAGGTTATCTGCCCACCTCGGCCTCTCAAGGTGCTGGGATTACAGGTGTGAGCCACCTTGCCTGGCTGAGACTGTCTTTAGAAATAAAGCCAACTATGGAAAATCCCAGAAGCACATGGTCTTTCTTACCATCCAGGTGACTCTTAGGGTACATGTCCACCTTCTCCTAGAGAGAGGAATGCCTGGATGTTACTGTCAACTGAGTCAGGGAGGAACACGGCGCTGCTGGCCATGCCTTCTATATAACTTAGCCAACTAAGTCAGCGAAGTTAGTGAATAGAGAATCTCACAGGAGGGTGCCTCGGAGAAAACAATGAGCAAGGACCCAGGTACCTAAGGGGGAGCAGGGTGTTGTCCCAACAATCTGAGATCTACAGCCCGCCTGGCTTTCACTTCAATAGCATTTCTGGGAAGGGAAATGGTTTAGAATAATCTCTGATGCACAATGAAGCCAATGGGCTTAACATTTTTAACAGTGAAAATGTTCTGCAGATAATCAGAGATGAACGTAATCTTAGAGGAGCTTGTTTAATGGTTCTCAAACACTGGAGAGCCAGTCAACTACATCAGGGTGACCTGGAGAACTTAATCCAAGTACAAATGCATGGGCCTTGGTCTCAGGGATTCAGGCTCAGGTTTGGGCAATAAACTATGTATTTTTAACAAGCTCCTTAGGTCATGCTAATGAGTAGCAGAGGTTGGGACACTCATACTTCATTTTAGAAAAGGTGAAACATTCCATCTCAACTAGCTGATGCAGTAAACCTAACCCTGCAGCATTTTTTTTTTATCTCATAGCTGTCATTTTAGATAATTTCTGTGGTTCCTTCTTGCGTTAATGTTAAAAAAATACATTACACAAAGTGAAATAAGCCATGCATAGAAAGACAAATACGGTATGATCTCCCTTATATGTTGACTCTAAGAAAGTTAATCCCATAGCAACAGAAGAAAGGTGGTTGCCAGAGGCTGGGGGGTGGGTGGCTGGGATAGGGAAAGGGGAGATATTGATTAAAAGGTACAAAGTTTCAGTTAGACTGAAGGACTAAGTTTTAGTGATCTATTGCACTGCATGGTGACCATAGTAATTAATAATGTATTAAATACGTCACAATTGCTAATAGATTTTTAATGTTCTCACCACACTAATTTGTTAAGTTGATAAGGTGCTGGATATGTTAATTAACTTGATTGAATTTTTCTACAATGTATATATATATCAAAACATCTCATGGTACCCCATAAATATACATAATTATTATTTGTCCATTAAAAATAGACAAATAGTCCATGAGCTCCACCTAACTTCATATTATCTAACAGCAAACGACTAGTCCAAAGCAACTAATTCCCAATTTCAGTAATTTCCACTGAAAGAAGAGAAGGAAGTAGAACATGTACATTTACAGCCTACCTTTCTCTCATCACACTCTCTGGATTGGGAGACCCGTTGAAGCTTTTCAGTCTGTAGCCCACAATATCAATTTGTAGAAAACAGCCCACCTGATCATATGAATAAGTGGAATTGGGTGACAAGGTCAGGATTTTTCATGTGAGAGTTTATTGGTTATCGAATAGAACTAAAATCAGAGGATTTAAATCAGCAAAAAGGTCTTGCCATGGAGATGAGTTTAGAGATTCAAGTGGCCACTTGGCTGCACTTGGGGGATAGAATCATGTGGAATTAGGAGCACAGCAGCACTGCGAAGCACATCTGTACAAGAAACACAAAAATTAGCCGGGAGTGGTGCCACACACCTGTGGTCCCAGCTACTCAGAAGGCTGAGGTGGGAGGAGGGATTGAGTCTGGGAGGTCGAGGCTGCAGTGAGCCATGATTCACCACTGCACTCCAGCCTGGGTGACAAAGCAAGACCCTGTATCAAAAAAAGGAAAAAAAAAGAAAAAGAGAAAGAGAAGAAACATAGACTCCAGCTTTTTCCATCTTCCTGGAAGCATCTATTAGCACAAAAACTGCGTAGCATATTGGAGAGATTTCAGTACTGCACGACCTTTTCACATTTTTCCTTGCAGCACCAGCCACATCAGAGATCGTTGTCATGGGGTTTTTGGGTCAGCCCGTGACTTTGCCCTGTCTGTACCCATCCTGGTCTCAGGACAGCAACAGCATGTGTTGGGGGAAAGGCCAGTGCCCCAACTCCGGTTGCAACGAGGAGCTCATCCACACCGATGGAACGCGGGTGACCTCAAGAAAGTCAGCAAAATATAGACTTTGGGGGACTCTCCAGAGGGGCAATGTCTCCTTGACCATCTTAAATCCCAGTGAAGGTGACAGCGGTGTGTACTGCTGCCGCATAGAGGTGCCTGGCTGGTTCAACGATGTAAAGTTACACAGGCGCCTGCAGCTACAGAGAGGTAAGCACGTGAAGGGCCTCATGTCTGTGGAAGGGGAGATTCGGTGCTTAGTGGATAATAGAATCAGAGGCTGGTGGTAAAGAGGTTAGAATTGCTTTTACAATGTGTGGGAAGATAGAATTTGAAATGAAATGCCGTGGTATGAAGTAGGTAAGTAAACACAAAAGCAGCCACAGAAATGAGTGGAAGGTGGAAAGGGAACCAGTGAATTGCAGGGTCAATTTGAAGAGGCAGCTGCTATGTATCCAGGGGATTGCCACCTTGCAGATATTTGGGTCCAGTGTTTTTAGATCTATCCATTTTTATGTAAACTCTGTTGATTTTTTGCATGTTGGCAGATTTAAAATAATACAAAAATTGCATGAACTAAGTAAAATGTATTCATGGTTCAGCTTCAGCCAGTAAACTAATGGTTTGCCACTTCTGGCAGAGGAGAAAGGGCCCGAGATTTGGACACAGTCATAGCAGTTTTCAGGTGCTCTTTCTTCTATTACTATCAGTCACTTTTGATATAATTTGGAATATGCTGGGACTCCAGAAATTTGAGCTGCATTGAGCCTATGGTTGAATAATGCTAATAATAATCATCTTTAGTAGTTTTCTGGCATGGAGCTTCCCAAAGTGAGCTCTGTATTCCGCCTGAATCAGTGTCACCTGGAGGATCCTTGGACTCTATTCCTAACTGGATGGGCACCTTGGAAGACAAGAATCTAGATATCTATATTCTGTTTTGTTTTTTTTTTTGAGACAGTTTTGCTCTTGTCGCCCAGGCTGGAGTGCAGTGGTGCGATCTTGGCTCACTGCAAATTCTACTTTCCAGATTCAAGCAATTCTCCTGCCTCAGCCTCCCAAGTAGCTAGGATTACAGGTGTCCACCACCACACTCAGCTAATTTTGTATTTTTAGTAGAGATGGGGTTTCACTATGTTGGCCAGGCTGGTCTCAAACTCCTGACTTCAGGTGATCCACCTGCCTTGGCCTCTCAAAGTGCTGGGATTACAAGTGTGAGCTACCACGCCCAGCCTACATTCTTAAGTTTTTGGGTGACTCTAATGCACTTTAAAATTTGAGACCAACTGATGTGGATGACTCTAATTTAAGAACTTACATACATATTAGTATATCTTTCTCTTAAGGCAACATTGTGAGGTAAAGAGAAGGTATTCCAATTTTGCAGAAGAGAGAAATGAGGTTTATTGATGTTAAATGACTCCCACTCAAGTCTTCTCTTTTCAAATTGGGTATAACCAACTATTATTTTATAGAATACTTGACAATATATTGTGAGGTCATTTCCAAGTTCACTTGGAACAAATGGTGTCTTTCTGGTCCATTAGAGTCCATGAAAATTTGGCATATTCTAGAAAGGATGAGATTTGTAGAATAAACGGTGGCTATCGAAGCTCAAATCAGATGTTTAGGGGTGAGTGGTGTTGGTATGAACCAATCTTTACTGTCTGAGACTACATTCTCACTCTAGTTTACATACTTTGAGCTCACTTTCGATGCACTCATTTATTCATTCATGCAATGTTTTTGGAGCATCTACTATATGCCAGACACTGTGATAATTATTGGATTTATAGCATAGAACAAAATAAATGACAGCTTTTTCCTCATGATGCTTAAAGTTTAATGGGATAAATAGACTTTAAACAATAGCAATAAAAGAAATGTGCAGTTATGGAATGCAATAAAGGCTGTGGAGGTAAAGTATGAGCGCACATCACACAAAAGCCTAATAATTATTGCAGAATCCACTTGGCCTCCTTGCAGAAGTAACCTTTTAGCTGAGACCTGAGAGTTAAGTAGGAGTCAGCCTCGTGAGGAATGAGAATAGGAAGCAGCAGGTGCAAAGGTTTGTGCAGTGGGCAGGTTGCTGATGTGTTCAAAAAGCTAAAGAAAGGCCAGTTGGGTAGGAAAAAGTGACAGCAGGCGGGTGGAGACATGAGGTTGGAAAGAAAGGCAGGGCTGGGTCAAATGGAGGCTTGCAGCTTGTAGGCCAAGTTGCAGGACTGGGTTCTCTATCTTAAGGACAAGGAGCACCCAGTAAAAGATTTAGGCAGGGGATGGACATAATTACATTTGACTTCTTTTTTTTTGAGATGGAGTCTTACTCTGTCACTTAGGCTGGAGTGCAGTGGCATGATCTCAGCTCACTGCAACCTCCTGGGTTCAAGCGATTCTCCTGCCTCAGCCTCCTGAATAGCTGGGATCGAAGGTGCTCACCACCATCCCAGTTAATTTTTGTATTTTTAGTACAGGGTTTCACCATGTTGACCAGGCTGGTCGTGACCTCAAGTATCCCCCTACCTTGGCCTCCCAAAGTGCTGGGATTACAGGCATGAGCCACCACACCTGGCCAACATTTTAAATGATTACTCTAGGCAGTGTGTGAAGAATACATTGGAAGGAAAGGGTCAGGGTCAGGGCAGGAAATAAAATTTTACTGGGCATTACAATGGTCCAGGCCAGCGGACCAGGTGAGGCCACAGAAATGGAGAGAAATGGTTGGGTCCCAGATGTACTTGCACTATTTCCTTTTCCCTCTGTCTCCGCTTGGTGCCAGACATGTCTGTTGTTGTTTACAGCCCCGACAACCACGAGAAGAACAACAACCACACAGAGAACAACCACCACGAGCCCCACCACCCCACAAATGACAACCACCACAGCTGCACTGCCAACAACAGTCATGACCACACCCGATCTCACAACCAGAACACCACTTCCAACGTCAACTATCACCGTCCTCACAACAGCAGATTCGTGCCCTTCACCAACCCCAAGCACCCTTCCAGAGGCAGCCACAGGTCTTCTGACTCCTGAGCCTTCTAAGGAAGGGCCCATCCTCACTGCAGGTACGTGAATGTAACTTGGGTTTCTTAGAGTTCTCTCGCTGAGTGATGCAGCCCAGTGACTTGCTTTCTCTCTCTCTCTCTCTCTCTCTCTCTGTGAGTGTGTGTGTGTGTGCACGCACGCACACACGTGTATTAGTTTGCCTGGCCTATCAAACAAATACCACAGACTGGGTGGCTTAAACAATAAAAATTTATTTTCTCGCCGTTCTGGGTTCTACAAGTCCAGCGTCAAGGTGTCAGCAAGGTTGGTTTCTTCTAAGTCCTCTCTCCTTCACTTGCAGATAAGAATACCAGTCATACTGGATTACACTTCATTGGTATGCCCTCATTTTACCTTAATTAGCTCTTGTTAAGCCCTATTTCAATGTCCATTTGCATTGGAGGCATGGAGGGTTAGCACTTCAACATATGAATTTTGAGGGGACACAATTTACTCCTTAACAGTAGGCATGTGTGTGCGTGTGCTTGTGTGTGTGTAAGGAGATGCTCTCACTAAACTGTTCCTTTTCTTTTTTTAATGGTGTCTCTTTTTTCTGCCTTTTCCTTTGTGTTTTTGAAAAGTCAGCATTTTGGGTTCTCCAATTGACCTCTCAGGAGTCTTGCAAGAGATATTTATTAAAGAACCAGGAAAGGTCACTTCTGGTCAGACTCCAGTTCCATTCTTTCAGGGGTTAAGTCGCTGCCTGAGCATTAGCGAATGATTGAGGAAAGACCTCCAGTCGCCTCTAAAATGTCCCCTGTCGGTGCCTAGTTCCAGCCTTGTTTCTTTTCTTTGTTTCTTTTTTTCTTCCCCTGGAATTCTTGACCCTGCAACTTGTACCTCTCACTGAGCGACTCACTCCATTGCTTAGGGGGTCTTGTCAAGGCTGTCATTGTATGTTGGCCTCTGATTCTGCAGTAAGAATTGGGAAAGCAATCATGAGATAGCTTGAAGGCTGCCTCAGTAAGTCCTGGATAATTCAAATAGCTTTATAAAATTGAATTGGATAATTCTATTATACTCTGAATAGTCACCTAAAATCCATGAACCCTGAACCAATCAATTTTTGTATGTATTTTTTATTCCTTTGGGCTTGAAAATAAATAACTACCGTAAAACACAATATTTGTAGTTTCTATTCCTTAATTCTAAAAATCACTTGCAATCCTTGAAGACAACTTGAAATATAAAAAGAAGCACCAAGACAGCAATAAAAATAGCCTGGAACATGGTGATGTGAGCCTATAATCCCAGCTACTTGGGAGGTTGAGGCAGGAAGATCCCTTGAGCCCAAGAGGTCAATTCCAGCCTGGGCAACATGGTGAGACTCTGTCTTTAAAAAAATAGATAAATTAGATAAAAATAGCTCATGCCTATAATCCCAGCACTTTGGGAGACCAAGGCAGGCAGATCACTTAAGGTCAGGGGTTTGAGACCATCCTAGCCAATGTGGTCAAACCTCTTCTTTTACTAAAAATATAAAATTAGCCGGGCATGGTAGCACGTGCCTATAATCTCAGCTACTCGGAAGGCTGAGGCGGGAGAATCGCTTGAACCTGGGCGGTGGAGATTACAGTGAGCCGAGATTGAGCGACTGCACTCCAGAGTGAGACTCTGTTTAAAAAATTAATTAATTAATTAATTAAAAAAATTTGAAAAGATAATTCCAAATCCCACCACCCACTACAAACAAAATAATACTGTTATTTTTTAGCTGCCTTTTATCCAACCTTTTTCTCTTCCAGAATCAGAAACTATCCTCCCCAGTGACCCCTGGAGTAATGCTGAGTCTACTTCTGCAGACACTGTCCTGCTGACATCCAAAGGTGTGCAGACACTCACCTTCTTTGTCCTCCCCCACCCCGTGGACTGAGGAGAAGGAAATTAATAAAAGTGTTGCTGAATCAGATGACCGACAACCTCTTTGGGTCTTTCGTGTCATAAAATCCCCCTGTGGCAAATCAGCCTCTGGGCAGCCTTTGTAGTTTGTTCCTTCTTGTGGCTGGGGGGTGGGGGTGGGGGGAAGGCCCTTCTTGATTGGTGCAGTTCTCCGCAGTAGCTCATGGCACATCTCTTGATGTTTGCTTTTAGACTCTAGGCTGAGTAGCACTTAGCTGTCTCATCCTAATTTCATGCATGTAAATCTTCTTTGTTGAGACTCCTGAGGGGTTTACTCATTCAATGATTGGCTTTTTTTAGAGTGGAGTGAGAATTGTCACTCTTTCATTTATTTGTCCTTTCTCCTACTGATCAAACCTTCTTTACCTAGTCACTAGGGTCCAGGACAGAGTATACCCTAAAATAAGACATGATTGGCATCCTTGGGGGTGCTAGAGAGGATCACTTGGGTTTGACTCCCAGTTCTACTACTTTTTGCTGGGGGTCCCTGACCTCAGTTTATTCCTAGGTTTGTGGTAAAGTTGTATAACTTCACACATGTAAGGACTTAGAAGAATGCCTGGCACATTTGTAAGCACGCACATGGCAGGGGCTGCCATAATGAAGCTAATAATCTAGCAGAGGAAAACAGACATATATAAGATAAATAAATCAGTGTTTGTGATAGTGTAACATAGGAACACAGTATTGCAGAGTGATTTATGTGGGCACTCTGGCTTCACTCTGCCTAAGTACAAATCCTGCCTTTCCTGCTGTATGATCTAAACTAAGCACCTAATCTCTCTGGGCCTTAGTTTCCTCACTAGTAAAATGGAAATAACACCTATCCTGTGGCTCTTTCTAAGGATTAAATGACAGATGCATGTATGTCATTTAGGACAGTGTCTGGATACTATTTTTTTTTTAAGAAAGAAGTCAGTATAGGAACAGTAGGGTACCAAAAGCAGGAAGACAGGCATTTATCTAAGTCTATTTTCTGTTTCCCCTTTTTTTTCCAAAGAGTCCAAAGTTTGGGATCTCCCATCAACATCCCACGTGTCAATGTGGAAAACAAGTGACTCAGTGACTTCTCCTCAGCCTGGAGGTAAGGGGGCTGTGATTTTTTATTTTATTTTATTTTACTTTATTAATTTTTTTTTTTTGTAGAGTCAAAGTCTCACCATGTTGCCCAGGCTGGTTTCAAACTCCTTGGCCTCAAGTGATCCACCTTGGCCTCCCAAAGTGCTGGGATTACAGGAGTGAGCCACCTTGCCTGGCCTGGGGCTGTGTTCTTATGAGTGGCTCGTCTTTGGCTGTGGAAACAATCTGTCATCTGCCTGTTTGTCTTGGGATTCAACTATTCTGGCTCCTTTGTGGCCATGTACCACATCCTCCTGCCAGCCGGGGTGAAAGTGAAACGTGCTGCAAGCGTCAGTGCTGGCTTCTCCTCTCCTCTGCTCATCTCCGAAGCCCGGCTGTTGAGATCTTCCTTTTTCCTTAGCAACTTCTGACTTGACACCATGAATGATAGTAGAAAATCACCTAGTCTTTTTTCAAATTTTTATTTTTTTATTTTAAATTACACAAATATCACATTAATGCATTTTTGTTCGGGGTGCATAAAAACAGAAATACGATTCTCTTTCACTTCTTGTCCTCAATCCCAGCCCTCTCACATGAGACAATAACTGTAATTAGTTGACGATGATCATTCTAGGTCTTTTCATTCCCTATGTGTCTGGATAGATATAGAAATTTATAGTTTGGTTTTGTGCCTGTCTTTAAAAAATGTTATCATGCTATATGCAGCATTCTACATTTTGTTTTACCACTGATTGTTATATATAGGACCACGTTCTTCTTTAGTCTGTGTAGATAGGTATCATGTTAAATTGCTGTGTAATATTTTCTATTACAAGCTCTCACAATATCTCTTGCCTATTGAGGGGCATTTAGATTGTTCCATGTTTCCTTTTTATAAACAGTGCTGTAGTGAACACCCCAGGACGTTCATGCCTGCCTAACCATTCATGCAAGGGTTTCTCTAGCTAGGATGGTGACCAAAAAGTAAAAATTACTGGTTAAAAGAAACATGCACCTTTAAATTTAATAGCTTGTAGAAAAATGTTCTCAGAAAAGGCTGTGCCAATTTATTTTTCCACCCACGGAGTATCTGCTTTCCCACATCCTCCTGACACTTGATATGACCGTTTAACTTTTTCAATCTTCTGAGAAGAAAATGTCATTTTGTTCCTCCCTCCCTCCCTCCCTCCCTCCCTCCCTCCCTCCCTTCCTCCCTTCCTTCCTTCCTTCTTTCCTTCCTTCCTTCTTCCGCCTCCCGCACTCAAGCGATTCTAATGCCTCGCCTCCTGAGTAGCTGGGACTACAGGCACATGCCACCATGTTCAGCTAATTTTAGTAGAAACAGGGTTTCACCACTCTGCCCTGGGTGGTCTCGAACTCATGAGCTCAGGTGACCCAAATGTCTCTGCCTCCCAATGTGCTGGGGTTACAGGCATGAGCCACCAGGTCTGGCCCATCTTGTTCTTTCCTTATCATGATCAACAGAGAGTTTGAGTTCCTTTCTATATGCTTACCAGCCAGGAAACAGGCATCCTTTAATTCTGTGAAGGAGACAATGTAACATCACTCTCAAAGTTCAGAAGATGGAATTGGAGGGGACAGACAAGAGTGAATGGAAGGGGACAGGTTTTGAAGTTAAGACTGTAACTCAAGATGGACCTGCTAGTAAGGGGGACCTGGTAGTAAGACGTTGAGGCCTGCACTAACTCATACAGTGGGAAAACAGAAAATCTGGACTAGGAGTTGATAGTTTAAGGGAAATGGGCTGCCGAAGATCCAAACCCTGTTTGTCTATGGGATGGGGTAAGGGTGGGGGACTACTTTCTAACATACGAAAGAGAAGGCAGTGACTAGAAAAGTGATGGAAACTAGGCAGAACATTCTAACACCTCATCCTTTGTTCCATTTAAATCTTGGATGATTTTACATTGAATTACAATGGAACAAAAGGTCATGTGATTTTTACCTTCCATAAGCTTCTTGATAATTTTCATTTCTCTTCTTTACCAAATCCCAGAACAGAGAACACTTGCTGCTTGGCTGAAGAGGAGCTTGGTGTAAGAAGGCCGGTCAGTCTCTGGGAACATGTCACTAGGGATGAAAAGCAGGGTTTAGTGAGCAGGTGTTATGTGCTAGTTCAGTGTCAAGCTGTCTTCCTGGGCCACTTCATTTAATCCCTCTTCAGCAGATGCTCATAGTTCTGTTTTATCTAAATCTCCCAAGGCCACACAGCTCTCAGGCATCAGATCCAGGATGTCTAGCTCTGATTCCATACTCTTTAGATATCATTTTATTTTATCTGGATTTCTAATCTGAAATTAAAAGTCATATTCTTTTAAGTACTATTCATTTATTTTAAATTACACAAACATTACGCTAATGCATTTTTGTTAGGGGTACATAAAAACAGATAGAAATAAAATTCCTTCACTCCCTATTTCCTGTCTTCCCACTGTTTTTTTTTTTTTTGTAATGAAACATTCATAGGGACCATTGCGGTTAATGCCCACCAAGGACTTATCTATGCATTAGGTACTGTACTCAGCATTTTTGTGTTAATATTCTTTTTTGAATCTCACAACAACCTCCTAAGCGGGTACAGATATTATCCTTATTTTGCAGATAAAGAAATAGAGGGTCAGAGAGTTTATTAGAGAAGCTAACACCTACCATTGTAGATCTGCCATTGTTTTAACACCATGCACATTACATGTATTATCTCTTTTGATTGTCCGCAAATCCATAAGAAATAGGTACCATTATCACCTCCATTTTAAAGACCTTGAAGATTAAAAACTTGTCCAGTAAGTGGCCGATCTGGATTTAACCCATGTCTTTTCAACTCTAAATCACTCTAACACCAAGTCACTCTGCTTCCTCCTGATCTCCCCTCTGGAGCCTCTTACAGAATAAGAGTACATCTTCATTCACATGGAAACCCTTTCAACCCACTGGGTTTTTCTTTCTCCGGCTGACAATCCTCAATTCCCTCTCCATTTCTTCATGCAATTTTTGGACGGCAAAGCTTCCGTGGTTGCAGGCTTATTTAAATCCTTAAAGAGGGTCTTGTCAATCATTGTTCTTTAAAATTAGCATGACCCATGGTAGCAATTTCTTCCCTCCACTAGTCATGGCTGACTAGAATGGAGCTCAGAGATGTAGAGTGTCTTAAGATCACACAGCTGAACAGCAGGAGAGCTGGAAGTCATACCCAGCTTTCAAAGATTTTAAACTGTGTCTATGGACTCCTGGATGGGTGATATCTGTAGATGAGCTTCTTGTGGGAAGGGCACCACCCTCCTGAAATTATACGCACAACTGTATGTATGTGTGCACACACATTTTTCTGGGGTGAAGTCCAGGACTTTCATTCAATTCTCCAAATATTCTATATAACTGCAAATGGCTAGGAACTATAATTCAGTTACAAATAAAAGCACAAACAAACAAAACAAAAATAACGACTCACATGAAAATGTGGCATAGGTCCCTTTCCCCCCAAATCTGTTAGAGGAATACAAACTCATTTCTCAAGATACCTAGGAACTCTGACCATACCTTTTCACCCATGGGATTAATTTTCTTTTTTTTTTTGAGATGGAGTGTCACTCTGTCACCAGGCTAGGGTGCAGTGGCACAATCTTGCCTCACTGCAACCTCTGTCTTCCGGGTTCAAGTGATTCTCCTGCCTCAGCCTCCTGAGCAGCTGGGACTACAGGCACCCGCCACCACACTGGCTAATTTTTTGTACTTTTAGTAGAGTTGGGATTTCACCATATTGGCCAGGCTGGTCTCGAACTCCTTATCTTGTGATCTCCCCACCTTGTCCTCCCTGGGATTACAGGCATGAGCCACCACACCCAGCTGGGATTAATTTTATTTCTTGCTTGGTAGCAAAAATGTGTGAAATGGTCCCCAGTTGCTCTCTAAAGGCCCCATCTCTACTGGGCAGGGAGTCCGAAGCCAGGACATAAAAAGCTACATAACTATGCCATTTCTTAAATAAAATCAGGTGGCCTGGGATTAAGTTCCCTGCTGACTGTATCTCAGGCTCATGTTCACTGCCTCTGCAACATCCCAATCCCTGTCCTTTGTCCTTTCTTCTCATATTCTCATAGCCTGTTGTGTAGCATTAGGTGGGGGTTGAAAGAGTTGAGTCAGGGAGCCTGAAGGCCCCTGATGATGTCCTACCTCTGCCATTTCATGTGATTTTTGTTTTTCTTGTAGCGTCTCAGGTGAGTCACTTGTTCTATCCTTTTCTAAATCTCAGTTTCCTCAAAATGTAACATGGGGATAACCACAGCACTTATTTTGTAGGACTGCTAAGCGAGAAAATGCAAGAGAAAAATGCCTAGTACATAATTACTGGCTTGTAAATAATAGTCATTATGAAGGACTTCTATTTTTTTCTTTTCTTTATATCTCTGCTACTATTCCAGATCACAAACCTTCATTTTCAGGCAGTCCAGCAGGGTAACAAGAGGCTACTTCTGCCAGCTCCCAAGGCTGTTTCTGATAAATATATAGACACTTTTTGGTTTTATGATTTTTTTTAACTACTAATCACACTAGGGAAACAGCTGATGAGTGACAAAATCACAAACCTAGGGAAGTTACCAAAGCTTTTACAATCTCAGAGTAGTCATTGTCACTGATTATTAGAATACATCTGAGATTCTAAAAGCTTTTCACCGACTTCTGTTTAGATGGTTCTGTAGAACTCTCAATTATTGGCTTTATTCCTGTGGGTGAACATCTTTAATTTTCAATTGCCTTCAGTTGTTTTGTTCTCACGTTGCTCAATCTATTGAGGCTCCAGTCTATAATTTAGGCTTGCGAATCAAGTTACAGCTGAAAGAGAGCTGTGGTCTAGTTTGCCATTCAGATGCTTCCAGGTTTGTGTTATTTATTTTACAGAGCAACTCCATGTACATGTCTTCTAGTTCAATGCTGTCTTCCAATTTTTAGGTGTTTGGTCCACAGATATCAACCAAAGAAGCCCTCCTTAGTGTGGCAAATTCTGACCTCCACTCTCTGGACGCCAGATACAGAACTCAGAGATGTAGAATGATTGACCCAAGGTCACACAGCTAGAGTGAGAGAGAACTGGGACTCACACCCACATTTCAGGGGTTTAAACTTGTGTCTATAAACTTCTGGGGTTGTGGGGGGGAAATCTTGTCTGTAGAATACATAGAAAATAGAGACCTAGAGAAGGCCAGGGAATTGAGAGAAGCTTGAAGGCAGGGTTCCTTATTTACTCCTAAAATATGAGGATTCACTTTTTCTTGTGCCCTAAATGAATCGTTATACCTATCATCAGCAGGCAGTCAAAACTGTAGGACAAATTCAAATTGGATGCAACCAAAAACACACGAGGACTTTGCTTGTCAATATTCAAATAGGGAAAAATGAAGATTGCTCTGACAATGACATTTTTCTTTCCTTGTGATACTTTCTTTCCTTGTGATAGTTATTTCTTGGTCCCAGGGGCAAGATTATGGGGGAATGGGTTAGGGATGATTTTAGGAATATTTTTTTCATGGTCCAAAGCTTCATGGTCCAAAATGAGCTGGTCTTTCTATGGAGTTAAGGCATGCTCAGAGGGAAATGTGGTTGGACGTAGAATTTTAAATCTGTACTTTGTAACTCTGGCACTTAGTTCAGATATATGACAATAGATAATATATTTAGTTGCTACTTTTTGTGGCATAGGACATGTAAAAATGAGTAGGGCATGGTCTTCATCTTTAAAGGGATCACATCTTAGTGGAATGGACAGGCTTGTGCATAACAAACCATCCTTTGGTGAGTTCTGCTTTGAGATAGAGGTAAGAAAAGGTGCACTGAGGCCCAAAGACAAAAGAGGTGATTCTATCTTGAAAATGAGGGCCAGGGTCAGGGCTGATTTTACTCACTGATCTTTGAATTGGTTCTTTAAGGAGAAAATGCTATGAAGGAGGGAAGACCTGACATGAAAGGAAGAACAGCATGAACAAAGACAAGGAAATGTAATAAGACCATGCTATCTTTGGAGATTATTTAATAGTCTTGTTTAATCCAAAAATAGAGATAGGAAACTGGTAACGGTCTAGGTTCTTAAGGGGCGTGTATGATCGGCTAAAGAAATTATATTTTATTTCAGAGTCATGAGAAATCATTCATGGTTTTTGAGTAGGGAATGACATTTTCAGTTGTTTTAGGAAAAATTGCTCTGGCAAGAGTATGGAAGATGTATTAGATGGGAGCAAGGCTGGAGGCTCCTGCAATGCTTAGCTGAAGCATGAGTGTCTAGATTAGAATGATGGCAGCAATAACAATAGAGAGTGGACAGAGGAATAGCCATTTAGTAATTAGGAGTCAGAGGACTCGGTGGTCTAAGTGGAGAATGAAGGATGGGTGATTCTCCGCAGTTGGGAGAATGGGTCAATGTGTGAGTTAACTGGTAAAGTAGCTCCATGAGGAAGACTTAAGTTTGTGTGTGGGATTGTGAGTTTGAAATACCTCTGAGAAATGTCTAGCAGGCAGTTGGAAGTGTGGGTCTGGGCTGACTCATGGATCCTGGGTGGGTGTCTTTGCTAATTGGCACTTACATCTGATCAAAATAATGATGATTCACATTATAAGTGCTAAATAAAGACTTGCCAGTATACCAATATTCTCCCAAAAGGAATAGTGCAAGACTAAGGATATAATTTGGGAGGTCACTGCTCATAAATGACCATAATTATTGATTACTTATTATATGCCAAGGCTTGGCTCAGTGTGTCCAATGCATTGTCTCATTGTGAGCAATTGTCTGAATCTGCAAGGAAGATTACATCACAATGTCCATTACAAAGGAGGAAAACTGAGGTTTGAAGAGGTAGAAAAATTGGCCGGAATTTGAATCCCAGATCTCTTTGGTGCTCGAAGCTGAGCTCTTACACACTTTATTATCTTGCCTCATTAGCGGAGGAGGGATAATAGAAGCTCCTGTAGGATCATCTAAAGATATTGTGTGAGATGCAGAGAGAGAAGAAGAGGTGCAAGGGGAGACTTCTTCCCCACAAAGGAGCAGTACACTGGGGGAGCTGGTGGTAGAGGAGGAAAAGCCAGCTAAGGAGCTACTCCTAAGCCAGCTAAGGAGCTAGACAGAGAGATACCAAAAGTAGGATGGGATGCACAAGCACATGGGTCAGAGGGAGCTGGGCTGGCAAAGCCTGGGGAGGGTGTAGTTAAAGATTAGGAAATTCTAGGATGAGGCATTTGGAGAGGTGGCTGTGTACCGTAGGAGGGTCACCATGAAGTGGGCACAGACTGTGCGAGTTCTGTGATGGGACTCTGTGAAATCCCAAAATGAGCAATTGCTAGAGGATGAATGTCTGATGTTCTTTCAAGAAATTTACAGGGAAGGCAGGGTAGAGAAGGAAGGAAGGAGCAAGGTGTGTCCTGGCATGGCTTAGGAGGATATAGTCAAACGTGGCAGAAGCAGGTTTGATCTGGACATGGAGATAAGAGAGAAGAAGGTAAGGAGAGAATAAATGAAGGTGTGAGAACAATCAGCTCTCATGTTGACCTCTAGGAGGTAGGAGAAGACTGGGGAACCAAGATCTTGAACTTGGAGATCATCCAGTCCATGAAGGCCAGACCTGATCATGTTCTGGAATCACAGGGAGCTTAGTAAAAATATGGGTCTCCTTACTGTACCCAAGAATTGCAAGAATTGCAGATTAGAACCTCTGGCAGTGGGGTCAAGAAATCGTATGTTTAACAAACCTCAGAGGAGTCTTTTGAAGTCATAGCCCTGATCCCAAGAAGGCAATTAGGAGTTACTAGTATAATGCACTCTCCTTATTTCATAAAGAAGGAAACTGAGGCACAGAGACATTTAAAAAGTTTTAAGAGGAGTGAGCACTTGTCCCTAAGTAGCAGTGTCTTCTGGCTCCCAAATTAGAGCTCATTGCCCTACATTGCACTATTTTAATAAAGTAAAGATAAAATTGAGCCCTGTCAGAACCTGACACTTTTCTGAGACTTTCGCTGATCAAGGGCATGAAAAAGTTGTAGGAGGAATTGCCGTTCTCAGTACAAGTTCAGCAGAAGGAGCAGAGAAACGCAGAGGAATGAAGCAAACCACATTTGTACTCACCGATGCCATCGTTAGGAAGGAAGAAGTTGATGCACTTGATTTCAAAGTCAGCATCTTCTGTGAGGTATTAGCAGATTTGTTTTATCTCTCCTGCCCAGTGCTGTTCACAGGCTAGAATCAGTTGGTAGCCCAGCTGCGGGATAAAGGAAAAGGACAGAAATGGATTCTTACTACTTTTTCTCACAATAGCATTCTAGTCTACCAACTGTACCAATGATTTTTTTATTAATAAAATTGGAATTGAATCCATGTAATGCTAGCATCTAACAGCTTACCTTCAGAAATGTCAACCAAATAAGATCAAAGGGAATTGCCAAGCTTTGAAAGAGGTTATGTCCGTGTAAGGCAGATGAAGAGTGAAAATGAAATAAGGGGTGAGCTGTTGAAATAGAACATGAAGCCAGCCCCAAGATAGATCCTGACTGATAACTGACAAGCTGAGCTGCGTAGCCCTTCTGTAGGCCAAAACATCCCTCTGATGCATAGCCAGGGAGGGGTTTCCAGGCACTGGAGAGGTATCTGATTTCAGAGGGTAGAACAAATGAGTAAACCTCAGTGAGTTCCTCAGCGTGGTCTCTCTCTGTTTTCTGCCCTGTAAACAAGTCTCCAAGAAAAGGTACAAATGTCCTTTGGCAAGATCTACCGTCTGTTGCCCAATGAGGGCTGTTGAACCCTGTGATACTCAGCAGTACAGCAGACAGGAAAAGAAGTGGAATCCGGAATCGGATGTCATTGCCCTACCATTCACTAGCTCTCATTATTAGCTATACAGCCTTCAGCAAGATATGGACCCCTCAGGGCTTTCATTTCCTCCTCTTCCAATAAGTCTGCCCAGGTTTACTTAGCTCATAGAATCATATTAAAACTCCAATAAGATAATGTATGTGAAAGCGCTCTGTGCACTTTCAGATGCTTACATCGTACTCATAATAATAATTATCGATAATAATGATTATTAGAATCTCTTTTCTAAAACTTGTATCCATCCAGGTGAATGGAGGACTGTGGTTTCATTTCTTTCTTTTTTTGAGATAAAGTTTTTCTCTGCCACCTAAGCTGGAGGGCAATGGCGTAATCTCAGCTCACTGCAACCTCAGACTCCTGGGTTCAAGTAATTCTCCTACCTCAGCTTCCCGAGTAGCTGGAATTACAGGCATCCACCATGAGGCTTGGTTAATTTTTTTTAAATTGTATTTTTGTAAAGACAGGATTTCACCATGTTGGCCAGGCTAGTTTTGAACTCCTCACCTCAGGTGATCTGCCCACCTTGGCCTCCCAAAGTGCCGGGATTACAAGCATGAGCGTCTTCCCATTGTATTTATTCTCCAGCACTCACCTTGCCACAGTTTTCAAAGTCCGTAGAGCCTAGAGGATAAGAGCTTGGGCTCTGCAGATAGATGATCCTGGCTCTGAGATTTGCACTGTCCCTTCCTGTGCTACTTGAGCAAGTTGCCCAACCTCTCCAGGTCACAAGTTTCCCACTGCGAGATGAGGACAGTAATGGTAACTACTGCAGAGCATTTTCTGAGAATTCACTAAGAACGTGGGAAGTACTTCACATTGCACTTGGCCTGGAGTAAGCGCTCAGTATATGGTAGCCATTTATTATTATTGCTGTCATTATAAATAATTCTGAGGGTTTTAGGTTAAAGGCAGATCTTCTCACCTCCCACAATCAAGATTTTTTGTTTGTTCATTTCTGAGATGGAGTCTTGTTCTGCAGCCCGGGCTGGAGTGCAGTGGTAGGATCATGGGTAATTGCAGGCTCAATCTCTTGGGCTCAAGCCTCCTGAGTAGCTGGGACTACAGGCATGTACCACCAAGCTCAGCTGTTTGTTTTTTTAATTTTGTAGAGATGGTATCTCCCTAGGTTGTCCTGGCTGGTCTTGAACTCTTGCATTGAAGCAATCTGGCCACCTCGGCCTCTCAAAATGCTGGATTACAAGGATGGGCCACCGCGCCTGGTCTCAGTGAAGATTTATTGATCAGCTAGTGTGGGCAAAGTAGGGTGCTAGACATTGCCCTTCAGAGGAGAGTCCAGTGATGAAGGATTAGGAATGAGGTCTTATCTGTGCTTCAGAGACCCTCAGCTATTGGCACGTGAGAGCAGGAGCCTGAGGAGGTGACTCTAGGCTCTCACAGGGATGATAAGATTTTGTTGTTGGCGTGTCTCAGGACCAGTGGAAGGTTGAGGCCAAAGTTCAGAACCAGGGTGCCTCTTGAACAGTGGTGTTCTAGAATCTCTGGTTTCCTTCCGTTGACCTAATCTGTGTGAAATGTGACAGCATCTCACCATTTCTTCTTTCTGAACCGCATTGGGTTCCAACACAACTTGCTCTCTGTTCTCTTTCAAAATTACCAACATAAACCCCACCCAATTCTTCCCTTGGACCTAAGGAATGCCTGACTCATGTATGTAATGCTCTGTTGATTTATTCAAGTGTATACTGCTTTTTTTGGATAATTCTACATATTAAAAACATGCAGAGGCCTTCAGAATTTAAAGCAAGTATGTGAATTCAATATATGTGTGTTTCCACTTTCATAAGGAGTTTTGAAATTCCAGATCTGTATTAGTGTTGCTGGAAAGGTCAGAAAATGTAAATTCTGAGTAGAGGTCAGCAAATGTACATAGTCCCTTCCTTTCTTACTCATTTACTGTAAAATCTTGGGCAAATGAACCTTTCTCTCAGATTTCAGCTTTCCTCTTAACAAATTAAAAAAAAAAAAAAGAAATTGGAGGAGATCATTTCAAATCCCTCCCAACTCTTAAACATTCAGATTGTGATTTCTGGATTCTTTTGCAGTCTTTTCCATTTTTTAAGATCATACCGCCCATGATCCAGAGGGGCAACATAAGCCTGTGGCTACCCACGAGAAAGAAGAAACTTGCACTTGTCACTTCTAAATGTCCAGGATTGCGTTAAAATTGTATCTTTGAGTTGACTTATTTCAGAACTAATTTTGTTTTAAACATAGAGATAGATGAGTCCCACCATCTATGAATTTAATGATGAGTCAACATATGTGATAACTGTTTTAAAATACACCCACTGAGAGGACAGAGTGCTTTTCTTTCCAGTTGATTTCTGGCTTGAAGCTCACTCGTTGGAGTATTTGTGTTTTCAAGTAGAATTTTAATATGCTTTTTTCCTTTTCTGTCAGACTCATTATGAACACTTTTTTTGCGTCATTCAGAGTTGGGTCCAAATTTCCTGTGATTGTTTGTGTCACCTTGGACAATTGATGCAACTTCTTTCAGCCTCAGTTTACACATCTGTAAAATGGGTTTATGAGCATTAAATGTGACGATTTGGCCAGGTGTGGTAGCTCCCACTTGTAATCTCAGCACTTTGGGAGGCCGAGGTGGGAGGATCACTTGAGCCCAGGAGTTCGACACCAGCCTGGGCAACAAAGCACAATTCCATCTCTACCAAAAAACATATTTAAAAACTAGCTGGGTGTGGTGGCACACACCTGTAGTCCCAGCTATTTGGGAAGCAGGGGTGAGGTGGGAGGATACCCTGAGCCTGGGAGGTTGAGGCTGCAGTGAGTCCTACCTGATTGTACCACTACACTCAAGCCTAGGTGACAGAGCAAGATCCTGTCTCAAGTTTAAACAAAAAATTATAATTTATATGAAGTGCTTATAACTGTGCCTGGCACATAGTAAGCGCTCAATAAATGTATTCCAAGAGACGGTCTCTGCTAATTTTCACGCAAGTCTCTAGGAATAGGGTGGGAACAGGGATAATATTAAAAGTCGACTCCTAAAAGATCTTCTTGTTTAAAATTTTAATGCCATTTTAGAACTGCATATAGCACAGTTCTAACTGGGAAGGAGCAGGTTCTGGTGTACCACCGTAAGCATAGCCATGTTGAAAGGGAAGTCTATCAGCACCCTAAGTTCTAAGGCTCTTACAATTAAATTTAATTCTTTGACACCATGGGGGTTGTTTTGGCACAGTAGATGGATAGGGATCTGCAGACTTTCTCTGTAAAGGGCCAGAACGTACATAGTTTAGGCCTTTCAGGCTCTACTGTCAGTTCTACTGTAGCTACTCAACTCTGCTACTGTAGTGCAAAATCAGCCACAGACAATAGGTAAACAAAGGGTACAACTGTGCTTCAAGAAAACCTTATTTATGGACACTAATATTTGAATTTCATAGAGTTTTCATGTGTTATGACTTATAATTTTTCTTTTGATTTTTTCCCACTATTTAAAACTGTGAAAATGAATCCTATCTCCTCCCAGGCTGTATAAAACAGATAGTGAGCTGGATTTGGCCCTCAGGCTGTAGTTGGCAAACTTTTGATCTATACCTTCCAGACACAAGACAGGTTCCTTAGCAAGGGCAGATGTGACATTGTTTCTATAGGGCTCTTCCGGAACATGTACTAAATATGGCCTCCTACCCTACTAGACTTTAAGTCCAGAACATGTACTAAATATGGCCTCCTACCCTACTAGACTTTAAGTCCAGAACATGTACTAAATATGGCCTCCTACCCTACTAGACTTTAAGTCCAGAACATGTACTAAATATGGCCTCCTACCCTACTAGACTTTAAGTCCAGAACATGTACTAAATATGGCCTCCTACCCTACTAGACTTTAAGTCCAGAACATGTACTAAATATGGCCTCCTACCCTACTAGATTTTAAGTCCAGAACATGTACTAAATATGGCCTCCTACCCTACTAGATTTTAAGTCCAGAACATGTACTAAATATGGCCTCCTACCCTACTAGACTTTAAGTCCAGAACATGTACTAAATATGGCCTCCTACCCTACTAGATTTTAAGTCCTTTAAAGGTAAAGGTGGGGGTTTTATGCTATAGTTTTAACATTTAAACTTTATTTTTCAGGTTACAGAATAAATACCTGTACTCACACAAAAAAAGTTAAAACACATGAAATGAAAGCTGCTTGTACCCCAAGCAACACTCTTGGCTGGGCGCAGTGGCTCATGCCTGTAGTTCCAGCACTTTGGGAGGCTAAGGTGGGCAGATCACAGCTCCTTGAGGTCAGGAATTCAAGATCAGCCTGTAATCCCAGCTACTCAGGAGGCTAAGGCAGGAGAATCACTTGAACCTGGGGGGCAGAGGTTGCAGTGAGCCAAGATTATGCCATTGTACTCCAGTCTGGGAGACAGAGTAAGACTCTGTCTCAAAAAAACAAACAAACAAACAAACAAACAAAACTCTCACCCATGAACAGATAAAGAGATTATCACTGTCACAGTTTGTAAAGCAAAGTATCTTCACTTTTCAGACTTTTTTTTCTCTTTTTAGGGACAAGATCTCACTCTGTTGCCCAGGGTGTAGTTCAGTGGCCCAGTCATAGCCCACTGCAGCCTAGAACGCCTGCTAATTTGTTTTAAAATTTTTTTATAGAGAGGGCATCTTGATATGTTTCCCAGGCTGGTCTCAAACTTGTTGCCTCAAACAATCTTTCTGCCTTGGCCTCCCAAAGTGCTAGAATTACTGGTGTCAGCCGCCATCCTTGCCTGGTCTTTTTAATTTTCCTCATAACAAGAGATCATTATTTTTCATAAAAATTTTCAAATTTTGTTTTTCAATATCATTCTATGTTCTTTCAAACTCACTTTGCATTTCATTCAACAGTTTCATTCAACAAATCTTTACCACAAAGCTGTTCTATACCATTCATATAAGTGATAGAACAATGTGAAATGGCCGATATTTAAACCATTTTCTTTTTTTGTTTGTTTGTTTGAGACAGAGTCTCACTCAGTTGCCCAGGCTGGAGTGCAGTGGTGTGATCTCGGCTCACTGCAACCTCTGCCTCCCAGGCTCAGGTCATCCTCCTGCCTCAATCTCCTGAGTAGCTAAGATTACAGGTGCCTGCCACTATACTTGGCTAATTTTTGTGTTTTTAGTAGAGATGGGGTTTCACCATGTTGGCCAGGCTGGTCTTGAACTGACCTCAGGTGATCCACCCACCTCAGCCTCCCAAAGTACTGGGATTACAGGCTTGAACCACCACACCCACCCCTGAAACCATTTTCTTTAAAGCTTATTTTAAAATAATTTTAGGCTAACGAGAACTTGCAAAAAAAGTACAGTAAGGTTCTCCTATATATCCTCCAATATCCCCCAATGATCACATCTTACATACTTATAGTACCTTGTCCAGCCAGGAGACTGATGCTGGCAAATACAGTTAATTAGTATATTAATCCCAGTGGGCCTTTGTCTGTTTTTATATGTACTCACTGTTAAAAATTATTTTGACTTATAAAAACAAGCAGTATATATCTATTGGGCAGCTTCCATGTGAGCACTTTTAGATCTAGAGGGTGTTCTTTATTAATAGCATCATTCTAACCCTTTTTTGGCTGTGGGTTACTGGGTTTCTAACACATGTCTTTAAAGTTTCACATAGAAGGTCACTTTGACACTGTTTCAGAGAAAGGATACACTCCCCAAGAGTTTGCTCTTGTCTCAAGCATCCCAGAGTTTCCAGTGATTAACATATTATACAAACAATATTTTACCATAAGGCCGGGTGCAGTGGCTCACATCTGTAATCCCAGCACTTTGGGAGGCTGAGGTGGGTGGATCACCTGAGGTTGGGAATTTGAGACCAGCCTGACCAACATGGAGAAACCCCATCGCTACTAAAAAAAAAAATAACAAGAATTAGCTGGACATGGTGGCCCATGCCTGTAATCCTGGCTACTTGGGAGGCTGAGGCAGGAGAATTGCTTGAACTCAGGAGATGGAGGTTGCCGTGAGCCAGGATCGTGCCATCCACTCCAGCCTGGGCAATAAGAGCGAACGTCCATTTAAATATATATGTATATTTAACCATTAAAAAGTCACATTTGAGAAAATTTAGAAATTAGACAAAATTAAAATGGTACTAGGAAGAATAATTTTAATTGTCTTGATATTTCCACTTGAAAGCAGATGTATTTGGTCTCTACATTTCTTTTTAGTTTTCTCTGGGGGATGAGTATGCAAATATTTAAAAATACATTATTGTATTTCTGTATGTATTTTAAAATATTTGCATACTCATTCCCTATACTAAGTATAGTTTTGTATCCTTTTAAAAGAATACTGTGAAATAATTTTCTCAGTAAAATTATTTGTAAAAAGACATCCAGAATTAGAAAGGTTAAAAAGGATATAGGAGATCAGTTGGTGAAATATTAGCATTTTCAGATGAAGAAACTATGGCTCAGAGAAGGGAAGTATCTTGGCCAAAATCACACAGCCAGGAAAGTTGAGATAAATACTTACTGATGGCAGAGAATCCCAGGATGCCACAGTGAGGGAGGCTGAGGGGCAAACGCTTGGCAGTACTCCAAGATCTAAGGTTAAGTGTTACAGGAATTCCATTTTACCAGAGTGCCCATG